CCCCAATGAATCCCTTCGGAGGCGGTTCCTCCTGATCCAACGGTCGTCTCTCCACAATCTTCCAAAGGTTGGGTTCTGGCGTCTCCCGAAGCTCCAATGTCCTCCCTTCATGTTGCCATTGAAAGGACCTCATCAGCCGATTTCGATAGGTAGCCCAGTCCGCCGGCGAGGATCGAAGTCCATAGAGGGCGTGTTGAACCCGCCATAGTTCCTGAGGTCCCACAATGCCCGCCTCCACCAAAATGCGTGGCGGTTTCACCACTCCCAATCTTCGACTGGAGTCTTCCCTGGGGGCCAGAAGGAAAGCCGTCTTGACATCGCAAGTGGCGATCTCCCAGTTCATAGCTGCCGCCTTTCGTAGAAGACATCGGATGGTTGTTCCGTCAGCTCCGCCGGCATACAGGTTCTGGGCCTCCTCCTTTCCCGAGGTTGCTGCACCACTGCCATCCAGAGCTTCCAGCCGATTACCGCAGACGACAATGCGAGCCCGCTTCTTTCCATGTGGTGCCTTGATGGTCGGAACCAACATCCCCGGCGCCCCCTCCATCACCTCATACAATGGATCTTGCTCCAACTCTTCCATGGTCGTCGGGCTCAATGCCCTAGTACCTTCAATCAAGGACTGGTACTCATCAGTCATCGGAGGCACCCATGCTGCAAGCTCCTGTCGGACTCGTTGAAGAGGAACGGCATAGGTTTGCAACACCGCCGGTGGAGGAGCTCCAGGATCCTGTAACTCCAAACCTGCTTCCTTCTTCACCGCAGCCAACCTCACCGACTCCAGCTTACGATGTTGGTCCTCCAAATGATCTTCTTATACCAGTAGTCCAGCCTCCAAAGCAGCCATCCATCGCCCTCTCTGACGGCCCTGCTCTTCTCCAATGGCCTGATGGCGCAACTCCTCACTCCACAACCTCTTCATCAGCAAGTGCGACCTCACCTCCATGGCGTGCCACTCCTCAGCTTGATCCCAAGAACAACTCGAGCCCTTCCATAGACCTCCCGTCCGACGTTCTCGGTAGTCGTCCACATACTCCAAGTTGCCACCACAGAAACCACAGGAAATCTGTGTCGCCTCCACCAAGTCCAGCGTGCCTTCCACTGCCGCTTGCATGGAGCTCATCACCACCCCGCAGCCGCGAATGTCCCTTGGATCCTCAGTCGGGACTTGGTGGGGGTGCCGGGGTTGAAGGAGTCCACAGTCTCCACAACACACCATCGCCAGCTCCCCAAGGCATTCCCAAGCTCTCCACCCCGACTGCTCTCCTTCCGACTCCGGCTCCGTCTCATCGACCACCTCCTCGACATCCTCCTCATCGTCCACAAACTCCAGACCACCACCACTGAAGTCCCGCTCCAACTCCTCCAGGTAGTTCCTCAGCGGCCCGGAGACTTCCAACTCCACGCCAACCACCTCTTCTTCTCCATCTCCCCCGACCATTTGCTCCATTGAT